TGTCGAACAGCAACTCCACCTCGACGACACACAGCGGTGAACAATTACTTGCTTTGATACCATGTAAACAGTATAGTCAGAGAGAGTGTGAGAGACGTAATTAAATAGGAGAAAATAGAACATACTGATTTTATTGAGTAGAAGAGATATATAATTACCTAGGAAGCACGGATACTCGTGGGGGGGTCGCCGTGGCAATGTCGAACAAATGTCTGACATGGATACGCGTGTCCAAGGGCTGGATACCCGTGTCCAAGTGTCGGACACGTGTCCGACACTTGCAGAAGTGTCCTGAACAGTGGCTTTGATTTTTTTTTGTCGGATACGTGGGGATTCGTGGGGATACGACGGGATACTTTTGTTATTTTAAAAACTTAGGGGGGCCGCAACGAAAAAAAAAATGTCAAAGCTATGTCGTTTGGCTTGAAAAAGAAAAAACAAAAGGGCAAAAGGCATTTGATTTGTGAACGTCTTCAATTCGTCATTCACTATGTTCGACAGAGAGAGAGAGAAGAGAAAACGAGCTTGAGAGGACTACAGGAGGAGAAGAAGGAGAGGGAAGAAGAAGGGAGACTAACTTGAGACTGCGACTGCGACTGCGACTTGGATCTGGACCAGGCGACCTGCGATTACTGCCCAGTCTCTTCCAGGTTCTTTTTCTTGCTTTAATTTTTTTTTTTTTTCAGATTTGCTACTGCTACTCTTACCTCTTTTGGTCTGTGTGGAGTCTGGACTTTCAAAATTTTAATTAAGTTAATTTAATTGGGTTAGGTTTTCGGGTTTTCAAAATTTGAGAATTTTTTGTTATTATTGTCCTGTTGTTAATCTATCTTTTTTTTTTTTCTGGTCTTGTGTTCTTTTGTTAGCAAACTTGTGGACTATGGATGTATCTTTTTTATTTAAATAATTTTTGTTATGTCTTGATTGTTTGTTAGTATTAATGTTATTGTTATATATATAAAAATATATATAATTATTTTAATTAGTCGTATCCTCACAGTACCCGTATCCTATATTTTGGAATTTTGTCATATCGCCGTGTCTGTATCGTATTGGATACGACACCTGTGTCCATATTCGTACTTCTTAGATAATTACACATCTAGAATAAGACAATGACTTTATTACTCATCACTCACTAATAGTTGCCATTACAGGTCACGGTGGTTAGGGGATGGGCTACTAATCTATGTTTCTCTCGAAGACTCTATTTCTCTTTTTGACTCTCTCATTCTCTTTATCCAACTCTTTCTTTGTTAAAATATGTATTTATTAATGGGTTTTTACTTAATGGTTAAAAAACATAATAGATAATATTATTCTTTTTAGTAAATATTTTAAATTGGGATGGGCAAATAAGTAAAAAAATCATTTCCATCACTTCCATTAGGGTACAGACACTGACAAGGGGTGTTAGTGAAATTTCAGATAATATAGAGGATGTCATTAAAGATAAGGTTATCTACAGGACATGTGGATGAAGTTTACCCTAGTTATTTTTCATAAGTTCATTTGTTGGTTACAGATGCTCTTGAACTTGAAGTGTATGCACCAAGAAAGTTGATAAAAGTGAAGATGTAGTTATTGATTGGTTGAAAAATTTCCATATCTTAGAAGTCTAAACAAAGATTGTAGCACCACAAGCAAGAAGCTCATTTGCTCCAAGTAGGGGTGTCAATTTTTTCCGTTAACACAAACCTGACTCGAACCGAACCCGACAAGAACTCAAAAATAACACAATTTGTTGACACGAGTAAAAAATTGGTCAAATTAAGATTCGACACGAAAAACACGATTAATGAATACTGTAGATAAAAAATAATTATTTAACAAGTATTGTAGATAGAAAATAAGAATTTTATAATTTTTTAAATAGTATTATATTAGTTGCTGTCAAATTAAATAATTTTTTATTAACGCTAATATTGACACGAACCCGACACGTACCGAAAGTGATACGACACGAAAATAACACGACCCGACACGATTGACACCCCTAACTCCAAGAGAGTGCATCCTTGGTAGCCAATAGAGCCTATACTACATTTTATTTTTTAAAAGACACCTTATCATATTCATTTATGTTTTACTTAGTTTTTGCAAAAGGATACTTTTGTGATTTTCAGGTAGGTAGAGCTAGGTTAGGCCTATGTGCCCACACTAAAACTTTGGGGGCTGGTTCTTTTGTTTTTTAGTTGGTTTATGGCTTGGTAGAAGGATTTGGGTTGGGTCAAGGTTTAAGAAGTTTGGGTTAAGCCAACATGGGTAAAGAAGTCTTTTTCCAGCAGCTTACCTGGTTCATTAACAAGAGCAGCCTCCTCCTTTCAGCAACAGTGCAGCACCGATAACCAATATCTGCAACAATAATTAGAAAATTCTGATGACAAGAAGCAGCAAATATGACTAGAGTTCAGTCATGCCATGCAGCAACTGATGATGAACAGTAAACTTGAAGGAAGAGGAGTAGAGTCTATGGATCAGAGTTTTGCTCTGATACCAAATTGATGTAGGATAGAAGAAAAAGAAATCAGAGAATAGAAAGAGAAGAAGAAAGATGAAGGAGTGGAAAAGATTTACCTCTTTCTTACAATGAATTGGTCAAGAAACACATAATCTCCGTAGAGAATAATCAATTCATATTCATAATGTCTCTCTACTCCAAATATTGGAGATTACATCACTATTTATAGGCTAAGTCTCCTACCAAAATAAAAAATATCCTTCTACGAAAATTCTAAAAGTTCATAATCAAACCCTTAAACTCCTTTACTCCTAAAACTCAATAATAATACTATAATCAAACTCTCACTAATACTCCTAGTCAAACTAAGTACTCCTAAATTAAATAATAATAATAAAACAAATCCTAATAAACTACCAATTACACTTCCCTTTAGACCAAAAATTCCTACTCTTTCGCCTAGGCTTCCAAAATCAATTGTATTGGTCCGCCAACCAATGGCTGTGCCATCACCCTAACTCTTCTCTTGCATTTTACTGGTACATAAAAGCTCACACCCTTACCAGCCCTTCGACCCTCAAAACTAAATCACATTCACACCCTTGACCTTTTTCTTCCACTGCCAACACCAATTGTGCTATCGTAACTTGTAGGAGAGTGTTTCTCCATACTCACTCCATATCATAAACATAAGATAATAACAGCAATGAAATTTAATCTGTTACCTTAAGTCACTTAATTCTAGAGTAAGATCACTTATTTCCATGCCAGAAAGCCTGATTGCAGCCATTGTACTAGGGAGCTCCTCACGAGCAGTATCTGCCAACTTTGAAAGAGATATTGCAGCTCTGCCCATTGCCTAAAATATACAGAAAAGGACAGAACTAAGGCAACAGTCCCCATGCTCTTAACCACATATTACAGTCGAGTTCATCCAAGAAAAGTAAAAATTAGGCCTCAAAGTTGAGAGGTCGCCACATTACAATAGGTGAAATTGTTAAGAACAAAAGATTTTATATTGTATTCATATGTTCCTTCATTTTCCTCTTTGTTGTTTAGGGGCTGGGAAGTTTAAATTTCAACATACCTAACCTCAAGTTCGTTCATGTTAAGAGGGAGCAGGGCTGGAAGGAAAAATAAAAGAAAAAATAATAACCACAGTACTAGTAACAGGACAATAATCTTAGAAAACAGATGGTTAAAAGACATGAAAGATCTAAGCACTAAAACATTCACCAACACCACTTCCGCATCTACTCACAGACACACAAAGACAAACAGACGCATTGACTTGAGATAATCATCAATATGTATAACCTAAAGTGGGAAAAAAATTGTTGGGGCTTTAGAATAAGGCACTGCATACATATGACCGGCAAAAAAAAATTACCACTATCAGCATCAAGCAGAACTGTAGAAGTTGTTTAACAAGACAGGTGTATTTTATTGAGTCAATTCCTGCAATCCTCAAATGCAACTACTCAATGGTACAAAAATAATGGGAATTAGAAAGAATACTAAAAGAAATAAGGAACATAAGAAAACTACAAACTGAAAGAATAAGCAGATATAATACCATCCCGAGAGAAGAATACTAGATACAACATTCTCTTTCACAAATTGAATAAGCAAATACCACCGGGCATCAAAAACAGAGGGCACATCCTAAATTTTTTAGTGTGATAGAACAGAGGAGGAGAAGAGAGATGAAAAAAGAATAGAGAGAAGTAACAGAAGAGAATATAAAGATAACCGAAGGAGACAAGAACGAAAACAAAAGAAAAAATAGAGATCTGAGAAGAAAAGACCAAGCAAGAAGATAAAGATCAAGGCAGCCCATTGGGCCAAAGTCCAATACCAGCCCTTAAAAAACTATTAAATTTAGTTGTCCAGCCCACTAATTCAGCAGGTCCTCATGGAATTCTGGTTGGACAGTCTTTATAGGTTTAAATAGTGTAGGATTATGATGTGCATGAGACTCAAACAAATAGCAATACGAAATAAGAAAAACATAGAACAAAAAAATTTACGTGGTGCAGCTCAAAAGCCTATGTCCATGGTGAAGTGCAGAGGTAAAGTTTCAACATCAAAAATGATGATTACAAAGAGTTCTCTGAACCAAAAGCAAGAGAACGAGTAATTAAACTGCCTTTAATTTACGATATTTATATAAACCAAATGCCCTTGTATCCAAATAGAATTAGGTTTCCGGATCCCTATTTAGCACAGTCTTTCAAAACATCTATGTGAAGAAATACAGAACAGAGGAGAGAAGAGGAACAGAGGGAAATTGAAATTGCAGAAATCTTATTGATCAAGTCACTTTACATCATATGCTGTCCAATTTATAGGACTCCAGATAATTACAATAAAATAGAGAGAGAGAGAGAGAGAGAGAGAGAGAGGGATTCTTAACTAACTACAGAAAGCCTTTTAACAGACTATTAACTACAATAACGTTTGATTAACTTGAGCAGCACAATTCGGTTTGGACAGCTCAGCATCTCCCGTAACTAACTAAGCTGGAGAGGATTGAGTGCTAGTGCTGTCCTTCAACTGTAATGCTGCTGAACCCCTTTGTCTCTGCTGGACTACTGAATGAGTGATACCAACAGCTGTGTTAATACTATGGTCTCCTATTCAGGTCAGATTAGAACAATGGATCCCAAATCCAACGGCTTTGGTGTCAAGGTGGGTACGAGTCAAAGCAAAATTCAAGACCTCCATAATATATTAATTATGGTATGCTCTAATATATTGCTTCTTGAATCAAGTTTTAAATTTTTCTTGGGGACAAAACAAATTTATTTTAATGTATCTCCTATACACACAACTATAAAAATTGAACAACCAAATGGGAAAGACGATCTTGGATTATGATATTCCATGAGACACCGTGTGTATTAGAAGAGTAATTCACCTTTCAATCAAGATAATGGAAATAAGTGGCAACGTTCTACAAAGATTTTCAAACGACAAGGCAAAGCCTTGATTTGGCATGTGATGAATGAAGCAAGCCCCAAATAGGACCTTGTATAGTTTAGCCATGAATCTCTTTGAGTTCTATCTTATACTTTATTTGAGTTATGTTCTTCTAGTTCAAGTCCATATAGCCATACCATGTTTTATGGGCCATGGGTCTAAATCTAGATCAAGTTATGTTTTTGGATCACAGTAGTTGGTCTAATGGGATGTCTAACACACAGTAATGGCAACTGCTCATCCACCCCTAAATATGTTGAGGATTCGAGCCCAAAAATCAAAATCAATAAATTGAGGGTAAGGATGTCTACCACTTACCTCTCCTAAACCCCATTATAGGCCGGAGCCTTGTGAACTGAATACAAACTTTTAATAGTTGTTTTAGTTATTATGTTAGACTGCTCAGATTTTTAAATTTCCAAATTGAATGCATAGTCTTAGACCCTATATCTATACAATGTGATCTTTCTTAATGCCTAGTGATCATGTTCAAAGAAATTTTCAAAGCTTTTGTAGCCACTTAACGTTTGTGCGATGCAACCATTACCCTAGATGTTATGCCTATGGGATTAGATAAACAACAGCTCTTCTAGAAGCCAAAAATCTTTTTTTTCTGGTTTAAGGAGTACTAACACAGCCTCTGACAGACTTAATTTTGACCCCAAACATCTTTAAATTGATACCAAAACACCTTTTTCGTAATCCCATACCTTTATCAACAAAAAACCTAGTTAATCAATGATCATCTTTTAACTCAAATAACTCCAATTCTAATAACTACTATTTTGCAAAAAATCTGTGGTGCTGCACCACAAGGATTTTGTACATCTTTTCTATTTTTCTTTACTTTCCAGAAATAGGGTTATTATTCAGATAACCAACCCAGGCATTTTTTAATGCGACTTTTCCCATGGAATGGAAGCCCTCAGCGCCTATTAGACTTACCCAGGGATTCCCAGTGTGGTGGAATGAGATTCGAGAAGATATTTAGCCGTAAGGAGCTCAACAGTGACTGTTTGCTCAGTTTCAGCCGTCCGACTCTCATGGTCTTCATTCCTTAGTTTGTTTTGAAATAGTGACTGTGTTTCTTGCTGAGATCGCTAGGTGGAGTTTGAAATCTAATTAATTACATTGACGGTTAGCATGAGTACTCAAAACACAAACGAAAGGTGTTAGATTAAAAATAGTAAAGCTTGATGTCCACAATTATCTTGTTTGGATGCACTCACCTACTTTGTTTATCACAAGTGAGGGGGGAATGGGTTATTTGACAAGTAAAATTAAGGAAACACAGATTGATGATCCTCTTGTTAGAGTATTCCTTAGTAAAATATTCCTTAGTTTATTGCGTATGTTTGGTTAAGTTTCGTTGTTGCACAAATTATGTGACTGTGATAATATTCTCTTTCTCTTTTCTCTTCTATGTCCTTTCACTGATCAATATTTTACATAGTATCAAAGCAAGTTGTGATTCTTAAACACAGCCAGAATATAGTAGAACTGTTATGAAAATTTCTAAGGTAAAGCTAAGGTTGACATCATTTGTCTGGAGCAGCAGAGGCCACTGTCCTACTTGATTTCGCATGGGCTCTTCAACAGTAGGCTCAGTTATTGATTTCGGGGTCTTCTGGTAAGCCTTTTGATTTTTTTAAATGTTTTGAAGAATATATGTCAAAATTCTTCAATTTCGATTTTCAGGAAGATTTCTTCGAGTTTGAGGGTCTAAATCCTGTGTAAAGTGTCGATTTAAACATACCAATGAATTTGAGTAGGATTTGAAGCTCGAAGGGGGTTCGCCTGTTTCCTCACTTCTTTGAATGTCTTCTACTGCTGCGATTTCTTCTTCCTCTTGGCTTTCTAGGTCTGCTGTGTTGCGGAATTGTTGTTCTGGCTTGGTGTGTGGCTGAGTTGATGAGATCTGTTGGCTGGTTTGTTGTCTGCTTTGCTCTAGGGTTTGTTCTTGTGACTGGTTTGAGCCACCACTAGTGATGTGTAGAAAACTGGTTCGGGTTGCTGTAGGCCGTCTTAATTTTGTCATTTGGGTATAGCTTGGAGTTGCTAATACAGTTCTTGAATTAGGCTGTGAGATTTGGGCATTGGATTTGGGATTTCATTATTTGACCCTTTTTTTTGTTGAAGTAATGGCTAGTAGTATCTTGTGAAATTATCTAGTGATAATTATGTCTATTGGGCATATGTAATGAAAAAAAATTTGTTGGGTAAACATATGTGAAGTTACATCAGTGGTGTTGTGAGAGCTCCAACAGATATAAAATCATTACTTCAATTAATAATTCAGTCAAATTCACCACAACTAAGGAAATTTGAGACTATTTGGCCACATTGTTTGTCCAATCCAACTTTGCAAAGAAATATCAACTTGAACATGAAATTCGAGCTCCACGTCAAGGTGACAGGAACATACAAGAGTTTTACTCGGTTATAACTGTATATAAGGATCAACTGGCACTTATTGAAGCTACAGAACTTAGTACTTTTAGAGAGGTTGGTGTAATTTTTTATGGCACTTAGAGATAATTTTGAGGGACGTTATAGGCCTATTCTCCATCGTCACCCACTTCCCTCGGCTGATACAATGGTTAATGAGCTCTTAGCTGAAGAGGTTCATCTTAAGACCCTTTCTAGAAAGGGCCCTCTTCCCTTACCTAATTAGATTGTATTGGTCGTTCCTCCCAAAACAACCTCTAACTCACAAACTGGTATCGAGGTCGAACTACTTTGAATGAGCATAGCTTCTACCGTGAAACGGATCAATGGAAGACCCAATGTCTAAAATTAGTCGATAAGTATGCTAAAAGATCACAAAATTTGTCATTTAAGCCCAAAGACCATCATACAATAGTAGTTGCACCACTAGTGGATGAGTCATTCTCATCGGCTTCCAACCTGACAATGATTGTTGACCAATTGCAGAAACTCCTCTCTCTCCATCAGCCTAGTGCTCGCATAATGTCTCCGTCAGTAGTTTCATTCACTTTAAGTCTAATAATAGTTTCTCAATTAGGAGCACTATAAAGTAATTATATTATTGTCTAACATTATTTTTACTTTGCATTATGTTTTCCAAGAATTGCCAAAAAAAATACTTTTGGTAGTAGTAAAGAAAGCTTTACTTTCTGAATTCTCAAGAGTCGAATGATCGTTGCATTAAACAAAGCAAAGAATTTTGACACTTCTGAGGAGTAGATTTATTGTTACATCAAAGATTAGGCCATCGTACATTTTTTTGTTTAAAAGAATATTTTCTTGTTTTCTACGTTGAATGTTTTAATTTACAATCTAAAGTATGACTTACAAAACACTATCGTGTGTCTATTAATTTCCAAAAAGTTTCTTATCCTTTTGTCCTTGGTTATATTGGTGCCTGGGCCCTTCCCGAATTGCTGGTTTATCTGGTTTAAGATGGTTTGTGGCCCTTATGGATGAATTTTCTCACACCAGTTAGGCATACGTATTGAAAGAAAAAAAATGAAGTGTTTTATGCCTCTCACACAATAACACTTACTCAATTTCATACTCAAGTAATAATAATTCATACCGATAACAAAGATAAGTATATTTATAGTGGTCTTCATTCGTATTTTAATGAACCTGGATAAATCTTGGCAAATTGGGATTGCCCACAGGAAGAATTGTCATGTGTTTGTTATAAGTTGCTAGGGTCTTGATGTTAGATGATATTTTTGTCGTAGCATATCTCATTAGCATAATGTCTTCTAGAATTCTAGAGTTTTGGCACCAATAAGGGTCTTATTCCACTTCCTTTTCTAACCTGTTTCAGCTCCTCAAATGTTTGGGAGTATTTGTTTTGTCCCCATTCCTACTCATCTCCTAAGTAAGTTGCATCCAAAAACAACCAAATGCAGTCCTCTAGGTTAAAGGGTTCAAAATGGTTTCATCCTCCTTCGAGTAAATAAACTCTCTTTGGAATGATACCTTACTTTGAGACCAAAGCTTACTTTTCCTCTAGGACTTATGTTCAATGCGTGAAGATAAATCTCTATTTTTTCAGAAATATTCTTCATCTATGCTCTTATGTCAATTGGAACAAAACAGAAGCATGCTCAAAGGGAATTAAAGGTCTCTTCAAGAGGACTGAAGGATAAGATTGTTTCTATTCCATTTCCTTGTTTAACAATTTCCTCGGGATTCCCGTGTTTAACTCTTCTAACAAATCTCTGGCTCTTGAATTTGATTCTGATATTCCCAGTAGTCTTCGTAAGGGTGTTCAATTTTTGCACTTAATTATGTATCCAGTTATTTATCTATCATATCTGAACATCGGTTTTTAAGATGAAAGAAGAATATTAAGCTGAAAGAAGGTCAAGTGATGCTAAACATGCACCAAAACAATCCTTGAAAGTCCAAATTATAATTGATATTAGTCATTGGATTTATATATTGGAACTTAACATTCATATTAGAAAAAATGTTACATTTCGCCTGTAAGAAATGCTGGATGTCCAAATTATGTGTGCACCACGTTTTCACAAAGTTATAAAAACATTTTTATAAAAAAAGTATAATAAACTGAACAAGATGCAAAATAACTCACATATAATGTTGGAACAGCTGCAATGACAAGGCTCGTAAATGCCACAGAAGTCTGCATTCAACAAATTTGGCTTGTGTTATCAATCTAGCGGACTAAGTAACATCATTGCCATCGTATTCCAAACCTTCTTTTGTTTCTAACAGTCCATATAGACAAAATATTTTTGTAATCCAAACAAACGATTTTCTGTGGAAATTCGAAACTAACACCCGAAGAAGGATCCGGTTTCTCTCACTGTCAATTTTAGTCACTTTTGGTCAAATTAAATCATCTATTAGACTCATTGGTCTCGCTGGCACTCAGTGGAACCCATTAATCCCACGAGCCAAGCGGAATGAAATTGTAGTGATGAATACCTTGACTGAGATTTACAAAATTTGAAATTGAGGCAATCTAAATCTCACACAAAACATGTACTCGGGATTTATCCAAGTTATTATCTGGTAGTAACTAAAAATGTCGGGAAGGACCAACCAAGTGTCCTACGTGGTGAATGGTCCATATACCGCATTTAAAATTTCAAATAAAATGTATGTCATGAATCAAGAATTAATCACAACTGATATTTTCCTCTTTTTTCATCTAATTGTTCCAGTCAAGGAAAGATGGGTGCATTACATCTGACCTTTGGCATTACTAGCACAAAGCCAGAGCCCTCTCTCAAATTTGATCCCACAATTTCACAGTTGCTAACCGACCACTTCTACCACTCCACCAGGCATAAATAATGGATCCAATAATTTGATTTAGGGGTAAACCCTGTGCAAAAGTCCATAAGGGCTATTGTGAAGGCAGGAGCGGCGCCACCGGGTGGGAAGAAGTGTCAATTTGAAATGGAGGTGGGTTTGAATGACCCACCAAGAAAAATTCCGGGAGCCGCGACTGTGTGAAGGTTCAAAACACATGGAGATCCTTAACAAAACCAATATAATTCCAAGGAATTTTCCTGAAACGACCGCCCCTTTCTAGACCCTAAACCATAACTGATTGATTTCACGATGAATTGAAAAAATGAATTAAAGTACCGTGCAAGCAATGAAGGCCAAGAGAAAGAAAGCTTGGTCGCTTAAGCTTAATTTGGATGGCGGAACATAAGATGACGGAACACTGGGGCTTCCTACTTCAACCTTCCATTGCCTCTGCTGCCGTTCAGCGCTATCCAAAGAAGTCTCTTCCTCTAATCGCTTCGACGCTGATTCGGGCACATTGGAATTGGCGAAGCAAACTGTGAAGATCAAACGAGAGGGTTTAAATATGTGAGAGTTTATTGGAGATATGGGATTTGAAGAAGCTCTGAGCTGGGAAGCGCTAGGGTTCAAACAATTGAGATAGGAAATGGGATTATTAATTCGAGGAAGTCCACAAAACTGAGAGAAAAAGAGGAGGTTAGAGGTAGACGTGGGAGAGGAGGGGTTAGCGGTGAGCAGACCCGGTTTCATGATGGTGTTGGAGCGACGGTGGGTGGGAATATCTTTCTGAGAGAGAGAGAGAGAGAGAGAGAGGGAGTTATTACTTACTACGGGTATCGTCCTGCGTTTCTTTTTGGCCTTGCCTCTCTCTCTCTCTCTCTTCTTTTTTTTTCTTTTTTTTTTTATCAACTTAATCAATTTAAGTTATACTATTCTAAAATATCAACATATTTAAAAAATATTATTTTCTATCTCTAACCTCCGACAATACAAATTTTATTCTTCAAAATTAATTATATATTAAACCTAATTGATCACCTCTACCTTAATCTATACTACTTTAAAATATCAGGATACTTAAAAAATTTTTTTTTATCTTTACCCTCCAATAATACAAGTTTGGCATCCTTATTCTTGAAAATTAATTACATATGAAACCTAATTCATCACCTCTACCCTAATAAAATTGTTGGATCTCTTTCCCATTGTTGTTCCCTCTCTCTCTCTCGTGTGCATTCATTACTTGGGGAAAAAACAAATAGACACTCCCACCTCCCCCTTTCTCTATCTCTCTTCTTTGCGCAGTCATTACTCAGTGAAAAAAAAATAGACACTCACCTCTTTTCAACTTCCCTCTCTTCCTCACTCTCTCGTTTATGCTCCCTTAGTGGCTCTAAAGACTTTAAGCCTTCTCTCTACAGCGTAAGCCTTTCTCTTTTGTTCAATAATTCTTTAATTATAGGGATTCAGTTACAAAATTGAATCTTCTTGGAGGCTCTATAGATTTTCAGGCTTCTGGTAATCCTTAAACCATCATTCTCTCCCTAAAATTGTCCAATTATAACAATTTAGTTACAAATTTTGAATACATCTCTTGGTATCAGTAGCTTTCTTTCATTATAATTACAAAACTCAGCTCTCTCTCTCTCTCTTTTCCCTATATGTGCCTCCATTGTTTGTTGAATGTCCCATAGATTGAATGATCCAACTCCTTAGTTTTTCTATGTTGTATTAGAAAGATACATTACTTCGAATCACTTTCTACCATTTTGGAAGCCCCCATTTTTTATTCTAATTTTTTGTGCATGCTCATGAATTTCAAAAACATTGTTGTATTAATTCATGTTTGCTGCAAAACAACAAAACCAATTTTTTTTGGCTAATTTTTGTTGTATTGCTAAATGCTCTAATTATCTAATACATTGTTCTTATGGTTTGTTTGCCATTTTTATTTTCAAAATTATCAATTGATCAAATGGGGATGAGGACAGAGATTGGTACTCCAAGCAGAATAATTCTTATTATTGAACAGGTATTCATGTACTTAGTCGTTAAAAAAAATTTATGTAGCAGGTTGTCGTAATCAACAAGTCATCCATCATATGATGTACGAGTCATTACTCGTGCTTAAAAGCACTATATAATAAACAAAAAAATCTTAAATAATTGTCAAATTCAAAAAGAATGGCCTAGAAATATTCATACTAATTCTTCTTTTAAAATAACTCAAAATATATTGTCAATCATATCCTCCATATTAATAGAACTGTCATAAAAATATATAAAAAAAACTCTCCAAAACAACACCATATATACAAATGCTTATGAAAAAAAAACAAATACTAAAATAACCCAATGAAATTTACAATCTTTAAGCAATAAATAAAAGAAAAAAAAGTTAAATATAAATTGGATAAAATTAAATGTCAACTTTTGATAAAATTATATATTAATTTACAATCTAAGGTTCATTTCGTGTTGAATATTATTTGGAGTTTATAGTTAATGTGTTATTTTTTATTTACATTAAGTGTTATTTACAAATTAAGAAGTAAGTGACAAAATACATGCCATCAAATATATAAAAACTTTGAATTAGTTTCATGAAATAAGTAATTACAAACATGTAGTTAGATAGAGAGAAAGAGAGAGAGTATAAGATAGAAAGATAGATAGAGAGAGTTACACGAGAGAGTCATACGAGAGATATGAGTCTTAGAGTTGTAAAATGAATGAAAGTTCAATTAGGACTATCGGATCAAAACGATATGAGCTGCGAAAAGCTGAAGAGAAACAATCTAACTACTTTATTATATGAATATAAAAATTTTGAATTAGTTTCATGGAATAAGTAATTACAAACATGTAGTTGGATAAAGATAAAGAGAAAGAGATCATAAGATAGATAGACAGAAAGATTTGAATCTTAGAATTGTAAAAAGAATGAAAGTTCAATTAAGAACATCGGATCAAAACGATTTGAGCCGTGATCAAGACAAACAATCTAGCTACTTTATTAAATAGATAGTTCGTTTACCTTCGGTTGCTATATCATCTTCTGTTTTACGACTTCAATGGTCCCCAAAAAAAGAAACACTTAGATGAGTTTTAGAGAGGTTCAAGATAAATATAGTTGGCTAGATTTTTCATCTTGGCTTGCCATAATTTTGTTATATCCATATTACTATTTATTAAAATATGGATATTACAGTTTTAACCACATCAAACACTTTAATATAGTTTTAGCTAGAGGAACTGACATTGGGCTTTTTGGATACTTTGTAGTAACTTCTCTGCACATTTTTATTTGTTGGACATATTTATATTAGAAGTCACACCATATGGCATGGGGATTTTGTTTTGCAAGAGAGTTTGGAAAAGATGGATACAAAAGTAAAACAATTCCTTAGAGGTGAAGAAGCTAATTTGGAGGTCTGACAATATGATCGTAGATTTTTAGTTCACTTCCATGTTTGTTTGTTGCCTTGATAGTTAGTTGTACGTGCAGGCTTTACAAGACAACAAAAATAAAGAAAATTAAAGGGCCTGGCTAGGTGGTAATCTGCAAAAGTTGCCGCCAAGGCTAATAAGGAAACTTATATGGGATTTGAAAGGTGGACCACTAATTATCTCCAATTATTGTGTGTACCATATGTCTTGCAAAACTTGAAGGTCCAAGAAAAGGATATGTCAAGGCATAAATGATATTGTAATTTTAAGTTTCTTGTGCATTTCCTAGCACTATAAAGAGAAAATTCTTTATTGTTGGTAGTGCTAACCTTTTTTATCCCAAAAAATATAAGAAATTGTGTGTGTGTGTGTGTTTTTTTGTGGCAAGTAGTTTTTCCTACCTTTTTTGGTAGAGCAATTGCATAAAATTTACAAGCTTTGTGGCTCACCATCGGAGGATTATTTGAGGAAATCAAATGTACCTCATTCAATAGTGTTTAGACCTCTAACGCCTTATTGATGTCGTCTTGCAGAACATTTAGAGATTTTCATGTCATTGTTGTAGGCTTATGTAGACCTTACTTTGACTAAATCATGCAAAACGAGGAACTACAAGCTTAATCACTTTACTTTCACTATATCCTACAAACAGAGGAACTAAAACATTAGCTCTTAAAAGTGAGAAGTACCTATGTTTTAAGAATAAATCCCATTAATTATCATAAAAAGTTTAGTCATATGGTTTATAAATAAAAAGATAAATAACATAAAAATAGTCTTGTGTCATGGAAACCTTTTCATATATGATTTTGTTTTGTTAATTGCCACTTGTGAAGATATTTTTGGTTCTTGACATATTTGTTTTTGGTATCCGTCTTGAACTTGCAACCATTATTTTTCTTATCAATCATATATTAAGTGTTCTATAGAAGAGATTTGAGAATGAAGACATGCCTCCTTCAAGGATCATTTCATTTCCAGTATTTATCACCTAAATAATTGTGAGACCCAATCATGCAGTGCATGCATATTAGCATAATTTTGTAAGCTAAATTGTAATTTTGTGAAATTATTAAAGGGTTAATTAAATTAAATATTTCATAGTCATGATGTGTATGAGCATGCATTGGGTATGTGTATCTCGTTAGTGATGTAGTAGTGAGACCTATTCATAAAAATTTCATGTGTGAAAATAGTGGGTCGATTTTGAAAGCACTTAAAAAGAAAATGTGAGTCATCTTAAGTGTTAGGTGTGCCATGTGTGGGTGTGGGTGTGTCTTAAGGTGTGGAAGTGTGTGTGTGTGTTTAAAATACAAACATTGTGTGTGTTATTGCCTTACTAAAACCGTGAGGGTGAATAAGAGTGAAAGAAAGAAAAAAAATAGGTGTGTATTCCTTTGAGCCGAAAGAAAGGAAGGTATGTGAGACTCAATTTAAGTATGCGTTGTGATTAATTTTAGTACATATGTATTTGTATATGTGTGGACTGTTTTAACATATTTTTAAATTAATGACTATTTTAATTTAATTCATGGACTATTTTGGTTAATTTTAATGGCCTATTTTAGTTTAATTTCAAAACATGTTTTTGTGAGTTTAAATTAAGCGTACTAAACATAAATTAGTGGGTTGTTTTGTGTTAAATTAATGGATTGTTTTATTTTAAGTTTAAAACAGATTTTATAAGGGTGTTAAACAAAATTTAGGGGCTGTTAAGAATGGATCTTAAATAGGTATTCAACCGAGTGTGCAAAAAGTGTGAAAATGGTCATTTGAGGTATTCGGGAAGCATTTAGTGGCCTAGGATGAAACCAAAATTATGGGTGTGAAATGGAGAGGTTAAAGGGTTCAATAAGTAACTGAAATTTTATGATTAAAGGTGTGTGTTAGATTAAATATGGTTGTTTTAAATGATAAGTACGATAAAGGTTGGAAATGGGTGTTGGTAATACCGAAATCCTAATTTTTAAATGTTATTATCACATGTATGAATTTTAATCCAAATGACCTGAAATTTTGTGTGCTACATTTTTAAATGATGCTTGATATGATAATGTAAATTTCAAATGCAAATGAATATGATATCCGGTGCAAAATGTATGAAATGTTGAAAGTGTAGTTTTTAGGATTCGTGGTCGAAATGTGTCAATGTGTTTGACCTACTTAATCCTAATTGTGATTAATGTGAATGATTTTAAGAATTTGGGGAGAAAATGTGATCCCTGGAACAAAAGTGCTAGTGTGTGAGTGGATAGTGTGGTAACTGTGGCACTTTGGGTTGTATCATTTTGCATGCATTAGTGCATAATTAACTATTAAATGTGATATGCATATTG